GGGCGGGGGGCCATAGCCCCGGCGGCAGCGGGAGGTGTCGCTCTGGCCTGCGGCACGTGGGGGCTGGGGTGAAGCCTTGGCAAGCAAAGTTCAGGCCCCTAGGCCTTGGCGCCCGCGCGCCCAGCTGCTCCGCCAGAAACGCAGAAGTCGGAGGTGAGGGAGGCCTGGGCGCGCCGGACCGCGGCAGAGACCCCGGGGACAGTGGGCGCGGGGCGGGAGCAGCGGGACCTCCCCCGAGAGCGTCAGGTCTCCGCGACCTGAGCGCCCCGCTCAGGACCATCAGAGAGGCTACAAGAAGGCTGGTGGTCCCCTAGGAGCCCAGCCAGGTGCACTGGGACCTGAGACTGTGCTTTCTCCCCAGGCGGAGATGGATCTGGAAGCCGCAAGGAATGGAACAGCCGGGCGTCCCAGGAGAGCTGAGGGCGACTTTGAACTGGGCAGCAGCAGGTACTTCAGCCCCGTGAATCAAATCGACAGGGCCAAGCTCAGTCTTGCAAAAAAGTTGAGAAAGTTAGCTGGTGCCTTTGGCCTTTGGAGGCTCTTTGGAGAATTATTTTAAGATTCAGAGCTTGGAGTAAAAGTTTCAAGTGGCCTCGAGGAATGTTGCTGAGGATACTTTCGAACAGGCTGTCTTTAAATGTGTGCCTTGCCCTGGGTGCAGGGCTGACTGGATATATGTGAATGCATGTGCTGTGTGGCATTCCTTCTATTATGTAACTTAGAACTTTTACAAGTAACTTTGATGTACATCAGAGTTTTCATGCTTAGGGAACAGCAGACATCTGCTGCTGATGGTTGTGCTTTTGAACAGGGGCAATGAGGAGAAACAAGCCCCTGCCTCCACCTCCCCGCCCCCACCCCCACCTCAGGGGGTATTGCTCTTCCTCCTTGTTTTACCTCTCCCCCTCCTCCCATGGCCAGGCTGCTTCTATATTTCCATGAGCAGAGGAGAGGGCCTTGACCAGTGCAGTTCTTCCCTAACCTGCACTTCCTAATTCCTTTCTGTTCCATTGCAATGGAAAAATCTCAGCACTTCCTTTGGTCACTGGTCCTTCTCCTGAATTTGGTTCCTGGGACCTTGTTCTGTGCACTTCAGAGGCCTCATTAGGGGCAGAGTAGCCCAGGCCATGCCACCTTTGTTTCCTCTTGCACTGTGGCAGTAGGGAAGCATTTTCACCTTTAGCCTGTAATGGTTTTGAGGCTGTATGGTCTTTGAGTTCATGTCAGGCCACCCAGAACTAACTGACCAGTGTCATCAGTGCTCATCCAGAAAGACACACTTATCATGTTCCTCAGTTTGTCCTCAAGCTGCAAGGAGCCTGATTAGTTAACTGAAAATGCACCTATCTGATAGTCCAACTGAAGCATTATTTCAGTCTGTTAATTTGTTCCAACAGTGACAAGGCTCTATTCCTTCGACAAACCATGGTTTTTATTCATAGAAATGTTGGTTTTGCAATATAGAATTGGAAAACTGATAGATGGTATTACCGAGGAAAGAAAAATGTGGTTTTCGTGGGCTGGCCACTTGGACTGCAGTTGACTGTGGATCTATTAATAGATGGCATTTTCATGAAGAAGGCTATTTGTGTATTGCACTGGCTGAACATTTGAGAGCATACAGAGAAGCTGTCCCTGCAAAAGGTTCAGTGACACTCCAGAGCCCAGGGATGGCCTCCGATGGGAAGCCTTCAGCCTTCTGCTGGAAGAAGCCAGCTGCTCAAAAGAAAAGTTTAGACTGTAAGATTATGGAATTAAAGATAAACAGACTCATTTTTATAAAAGCAGACTGAAGAATATACATTCAAAGGAAGCCTACCTCAGTATTTAGAGCCAGTCGAGAGTTGGTTATGTGGCTCCTCCAGTCATGCTGCTATCCCCTGTAACACATTCTTTGGAATATGTTTAGTTGCAGACGTTTCTCTAGTGATTTTAGTGACTATACTACATAATTTGAGATCTAGTCTTAGGAGCAAAACTTTGTCACCTCCCTAGATAAATGTATTTTAGGTTCAAAGAATAAAATCTCTGGTTCAGCCCTAAGTGCTGTGATTAAGTGCAGTGCATTGGGAGCCACATTCCACGTAGCCAACTTTAGGTTTGCATTCTGGCACTGCAGGCTTGAAAAATGCACTGGACACATGGACATGTGTGCCCCAGATCCTGACAGGATGAAAAATAGAGGAAAAAGGATTATTGTATGACCCCCTTCCCCTTGGGGAAGGGATATTTTCTCTTTCTCTCCCCAACCTGCACGTGCTCTTTAACAGTAAAAGAAAAAAAGAGAAAACTCTGCCTTCGTGGAGTTTACATTATTGAAAGGATGACAGGCATAAATAATACACAGCCCCAATAAAACAACAGCTCTGTAACTAGGAAATGAATGCTATGAAAAAATACTAATCAAGGTTAAGGAGTCAGGAGTGCAAAGAAGAAATACTTTGCAATATCAACAGAGTGGTTAGGCAGGTCTTATTTTGAAGGTGATATTTGAGCAAAGACTTGGTAGAAAGTAGAGGAACGAGCGATGTGGGGGTCTAAGGGAGAGCATTCCTGGCAGCAGTAGCTGACAGTGCCGAGCCTTGCATGTTTGCCGTGTTCACAGGACAGCAGAGAGGCTGAGGAATTGGAGCAGAGTAAGTAGGAGTGGGAATGAGAGATGTGTTCGGACAGGTAATAGGAGAATAGATCAGGTAGGGTCCTAGGGGCTGGTGTATGCACTCTGGTTTTCCCTCAGAGAAAGATAAGAGATGTTGTGGGTTATTAAGCAGAGTGATATCGTGATACAACTTGCTAGGTTTTGTTTGTTTGTGTGTTTGTTTACACCGCCAGTGTGTGCACTTACCCAGGAGAGACAAGGAGAGGGAGAAAAGGTCCCTAACAGAGTGTGATCACACTGCAGTCCTCCTTCCATCCGGATTTCGAGCATGCGTGCACATGCACCTGGCATCTTTTACAAGCCGCAGTGGACCATGTGGGATCCAGCTCCCAATGCATTGCCATAGCCACTGTCTGATAAGGTCCAATCAATGACTTCAGCTTTTAAAGGAGCACTGTGGGTTCTGGTTAAGGATAAACCAAAGAAGGAATGGGCGGAAGTAAAGAGACTAAGAAGAAGCTATATGACTGAGGACAGCAATATAAGTGTGAGAAGTAGTTGGATTCTAGGTGTATTTTGAATCCTAGAACCAACAGGATTCCTGAAGCCACTGATAAGGTCCGAGCAATGACTTCATCGTTTTTTTTTTTTTTTGGAGAGGTTTTTGCTATAGGGCGATAGGGCGCGTGCACTCTCCAGACAGACAGAGAGAGACAGAGAGACAGAAAGCCATCCCCCCAGGGGGGATGGCCACACCGCAATCCCTTCTCCATTCTCCTCTCAGGATCTTGGGCACATACGCATATGTACCCGGTATGAGTTTTTAGTCACCGGGTCTGGGACGCGAACCGCGGTCGACTACATGGGAGTCTAGCGACATAGCCATTACGCTAACTGCTGGTCCCAATGACTTCAACTTTTAAAGGAGCACTGTGGGTTCCAGTTAAGGATAAACCAAAGAAGAAATGGGTGGAAGTAGAGAGACTAAGAAGAAGCTATATGACTGAGGACAGCAATACAAGTGTGAGAAGTAGTTGGATTCTAGGTGTATTTTGAATCCTAGAACCAACAGGATTCCTGAAGCCACACATTCGCCCCTCCCCCACGATCCTTCAGAAGTGTGGTCTTTACTAATTTTAAATCAATGTGCATAGTTTTTTGGAAAAGGAAGAAGCTAATTGATTTGGCAGGCATGTTACATTACTCACCTTCCTCTGTGGATGCCCTCGCTCCTCTTTCCATACATCCTTGTAGTACCTTGGACAGTTACCTTCACACTTGTTAGCTGCCTTGTGGTGTTTGTCAAACTAGACTTTGACATTAGTGGACATTGCTCTTGAATTTGAACGTATTACAAAAGTTTAATTTTATAACTAGTCAGGCTTATGTTCAATTGACTGTGAAACATTTTAAATTCCACTATATTTTTTACAGCAACCGAGACAAGAAAAGAACGAAGAAAGTGAATTTGATTGGGCCATTAGCATTGGTAAGCTGTGAAATATTAAATGTGAATAACCCTGCCTTCCATTCAAATTCAAGGTCATGAATCATAGAGCAAAGATTTGCCTATAAGCAGCAATAGGTGCCCTGGCTCTACTTGTGCTGTCTAAGGTCGACCCACGGTCTCAAGGTGGATGTTAAAAGAAGCAGAGACAGGCTACCTGTGGCACAGGACAAAGCTAACTGGTGTACAGGAAAATAAAAACATGTTATTAGCACCATGCAAACTCACCAATTTCAGGAAAACACATTGCATTTGCTTCACACTCACCCCTATAAACTTAGCATAAAATAAATTTGCATATAAGAAGGTGATTGTTATCTACATTAGTTTTAAAACACATTTGACTTCCAGAAAAATTGGTCAAATATGGGGTAACTATGAGGGATTCTTACTATGCTTAAGACAGTTTTGGTACTTTTCTCCTGGTTCAAGGCAACCCAACACATCATTGGAAGAAGTCAAATCTGTTTTTCTTTAATGTGTATCAAAGAGGCAGCCCAAGATAGCATTTGCCCACTTTTGGTAATTATGATGTATTTCAAACTATGACAGTCATTCAATAGAAGAGAAGTTAGAACTAAGTGACATGTCAGCTGAAACCTCCTGCTTAGAGGTAGGGTCCCAGAGAGGATTGCCATATCACAATCCCTTCTCTTCCATTCTCCACTTAGAATTTTGGGCAGACATGCACATGTATCTGGCGTGAGTTTCAAGCTGCCAGGTCTGAGACGTGAACCACAGTTGGCTGTGTGGGAGTCCAGAGATGTCACCATTTCACCATCTGCTGGTCCCCTAATGCACAGATTTAAAATCTGTCTCCTATAGACAATAAAATACCACAAACTTTAGTGTAGAAGAAGAAAACTTCATTTGAATTGAAACAGTTTAGTGTAAATTAAATTTAAATGTAATTTATTCTACCTCTAAATAGATATTTTTGTCCTAAAGAAAAAAAACTTCAGAATAAAACTGTGCTCTAATAAGAATTAGTATTATATATTGTATATATGTTTGTGTGTGCATACACACACACACACATTTTAAACAAATCTAGACTTACTTAGATTGTGGCTGTGAAGTTCACCTAATCTTACATTTAAGTTTAGGAACTGTAATACAATTAATGTGGAAAGTGTTTAAAATGTTCCTCAATATCATATAATGTCACTAAAGAGAACATGACACCCTGACTCTGTGCTCTTAACTCTGGCTGTCTTCCTTTCCCAGAAGCCATTAAAAATGAAACTCGGGGACACTGGTCTCTTTTGCAGTAGTTACACTTGACCTGACCTGCTCCTCTAGTTTCATTCGAAGCTCTACCTGGCTTCTGACCCTTTGTCTCTTCAGGTAATCTTGCTTTCCTTGTATATTTGATGATGAAATTTGTCCCACTCCCCACTTCCCACGTTGACTGACCCTCTTTGAGAACAATTTGCACACACACCACCTCCCCACTGTGTGCTTCCAACCTCAGGCTTCCCGAGGTATTCACCAGTCTGACTCAGCTTCAGGCCTCAAAGACTCCACTCTGCCAGGCCTTACTCATCAGGCACTCTCCCCAAACCTTTCAATGGCTCATAAAGAGGGTGGACTGGGGCAGACGGACAGAGCGAAAGTTTTAAAAGAGAGAAGAGTTGCAGGAGGCAGATGCAAATGGATAGAAATGGGAACATAAGAAGATGTAGTCTGGAAGACAAAGTGGAAAGAAAAACAAAGAGAAAGAAATCTATAGACTGGACAATTAAAAACAGGGAGAAGAGGTGAGAAATTGAGGAGGAATAAAGACAGTGAGAAACGAAGCCTTTAGAAGTGCTATGACCCTGATCTTCTGGTTAGTTCCTGGGGTTGTGCACTTCACCCTTCCCTTCTGTAGATAGGCCCAAGTCCAGGATCCTTGTTGTGGTCCACAGGCTTTACTTTATTATTATTAAAATTTTTGCCATAGGGTATTTGTGCTTGCTAGAGAAAGAGGCAGAAATAGAAAAAAACTGAGAAATCACCCCCCAGAGGGGATGGCCACACCGTAATTCCTTCTCTACCATTTTCCTCTAGGGATTTTGGGCACCCATGCATACATGCCCACATTTTCCAAGCTTCTGGGTCCAGGACTTGAACCCTGGAGTAGGCTATAAGAGATCCAGTGCAGCAGCCACCATATCATCTATGGGTCCACCCACAGCCTTCTGTTCTCTTAAATGTCATCTCCCATGCTTTGTATGGTGACCAGGAACTCCACTGTGGGGAGTTAATTAAGTCCTCTTTTTAGTCTGTTTTTTTGTTGTTGTTGTTGTTCATTTGTTTGTTTTTAAATCACTAACAACTGAATACAACACTGGGTAATTTATAAAGAATAGAGGGTTTTTGTTTGTTTTTTTTTAGCTCACAATTTTGACAGGTCCAAGGTTAAGGGTGTCTAGTGAGGCTCTTCTTGGTGGGGACTCTGCAGAGTCCAGAGGCAACACAGAGCATCGTGAGGCAAATGCTCCCTCATCTTATGAACCCACCAGGGTTCGATCAGGGGAGCCTACCTCGATGACCTCATCTAGTCCTAATCACTCAAAGGCCCCACCTTTAAACACCATAGTTTTCACCCTCTTAACCTTGTCACAACCAAATTTCAACATATGAATTTAGGAGCTACACATTTAAATCGTAGCACACTCCATGTAATTTCCTGCTGTTCCAAACTAAGCACCCCCTACTTCCTCTACCCCCCACCCCAATTCTTTTCCAGTTAGCTCCCCTCATTCTTCGAGATTCTGCATGAGCGTCATCACTATGTGTGCAAGGCTTCTCTAAGTTCACATGTAGACACTGCCTTTTAAAGATGAACTGAACTTCAAAACTCAGAGGCTTTATTTTCCCCTATTGTAAATTCTCTTCTGAAATGTTCTAAATACTGTTTTTGTTTTTGTTTTTGTTTTCTATTTAGAGATATTTTTGCTATGGAGCACATGAGCTCTCCAGAGAGACAGAGAGCGACAGAAAGGCAGAAAGTGAGAAATCACTCCCCAGAGGAGATGGCAGTGTGCAATCCCTTCTCCTCCATTCTCCTCTCAGGATATAGGATATGCTCGCACATGTGCACAGAGTGTTTTAAGTGGCCAAGTCTGGGACTCAAACTACAGTTCACTACATGGGAGTTTAGCGCTATAACCATTACGCCATCTACTAGTCCCCTAAATGCTGTTTTATTTTTTATTTATTTATTTTTTATTAAGTTCTTTTAAAATTTATTATCATAATCTTTTTAATATTACATTGAATCACATATAGCTTTACAGTGTACTACATTTCTTTTTCCAGAAGAATACCATGCATATCAGTCAATACAAAGATATTAAAATCCCCATAATCCTCAAATAACTTGTCATTACTTTTTCCAAATTATTATTATTATTGTTCTGATCATTATTATTATTTTTTGGAGAGTTGTTTTTTTTTTTTCTATAGGGCACGTGCGCTCACCAGACAGACAGACAGAAAGATAGAAAGTGAGAAATCACCCCCTAGCGGGGATGGCCATGCCGCAATCCCTTCTCCTCCATTCTCCTCTCGGGATCTTGCGCACGCACGCACACGCGCCCGGCGTGAGTTTTAAGCCACTGGGTCCAGGATGAGAACCACGATTGACCACATGGGAGTCCAGCGACATAGCCATTATAGTAACTGCTAGTCCCCTGACTATTTTTTTAAACATTCAATCACTGTTTATCGTTTTCCTTGTAAAAAGACTTTATGCAACATGAAATACTTCTCAGGCCAATCTAGTTGGGAATACTGTACACGTGGTCATCAACAGTTAATAAACCATTTCTGTCTCCCGCTATTATCATGCCTCTCTATTTGTTCTTTTGCTATCCTTCTCCATACTCTTCTCTTCTCCCGCCCCATTTCACACTATCTTCATCTCCACTAACTATTTTCACTGCTTTTGTGCCCTCCAATTCAAATGCTATTTTAAAGGTTATGAAGCAGAGGCAACCCATGGCCTGGTGGTTAAGGCAGACAGATCCCACATGACTGACCATGCGCTTTGAGTCCCAGACCCTGGGGCTTGAGAAATACGCTGGTATTCATGTGCATGTGTGCCTAGAATTCCAAAAGGATAGAGATGGAGAAGGGATTGTGGCATGGCCATTCCCTGTAGGGGTTGCTTTCTCCTCTCCCTTTCTGTTGAACTTATGCACTCTCTGGCAAGAAAAAAAAAAAAAGAAAGAAAAGGAAGAAAAGAAAAAGATGCAATGTGTGTGCATGCGTGTGCGTATGTGTGTAAATTTAATATCTTCCCCTGGCTTTTCTTAATTCACTACTTCAGGAGCTCTGGGAAATCAAACAGTACTTCTTAATGAAATCGAACTTAAATTCCTTCTTATTATATTGTAATCAGCCACCCAAGTCAGACACTGATTGAATTAGAATTAAACAGAATTAGATTGATTTCTTCTCAGAATGTAAATAAATGGAATTATTAAATTAATCTGTTAATGGTTTGGACTGAAATTCACTTTCTCTAATACATTTATTTGACACTTTGTTTTTTAGGTTTTTGTCCTAGGGCATATGTATTCACTGGAGAGAGACAGAAAGAGGGAAAGTGAGAAATCATTCTCCTAGTGTGGACGGCTACACTGCAGTCCTTTCTTCTCCACTCTTCTCTTGGAATTTTGGACACACACGCAAACATGTCCAACATGATTTTCAAGCCACTGGGTCTGATGCTCAAATCGTGGTTGGCCATGGGTAGTCCAGTTTTGTAAACACCACACGACCTGCTGACCTCATTTGCAGCTTTAAATAAAAATCCGAAG